AACCGAACGTAACCGACCGAATTTTTTAAAATTTCTAACCGAACCGATCGTAACCGAAAAAATCCCTAACCGAACCGAACGTAACCGACCGAATTTTTTAAAAATCTCGAATCAAACCGATTTCGGTTACGGTCGGTCGGTTCGGTTCGGTTAAAAACCGAACCGGTCCCATCTCTGTTACTTACGTTATACGGGAAGAAAAAAAATACTGTGGTATTTCCAGTCAGTCTCACCCATTCTAATAGCTGCGAATGAGTTGTTAATTCGTTATGTTTTTATCTAAGAGTTACTCGGACTATAGATCAGATAGAATGTTTTAGTTTTTTACATATAAAGATTCGCTTTGCAAAGGAATTTTAAATTTGAAAGAGACAAATTTTGTTTACAAGGAGTTCAGCCGTTTGAGAAAATCGTGAGTATTCAAATTGAGCATAATATGATAGGGTTCTTCGTCGTTAGGTCATTTCATAGATGCAATCTAAGAACGATTCAACTGCGAACCATTAGATCATTAGTATACTCGTACTTTCTGTTCTTCTTCTTTCTTTAGTGGTATCGAGTTTTTTTTACAACACTCAAGCCTTAATTCAGTACTTTGTTGTACTTTACTTTTGTAAGGGTACGACCAAGCTCCTTTTTTAGTCTCGACCATGAATTTCTGAGGAAGATAGTTACCTAAAAAAGGGTCTATACACTTTTTTAAATGCATTTTCAGTGATGCAGCAGTTTAAATCTTTCATTGCTACGTTCTATGTCGTTTCATGTCAGTAATATTTAAGATAATTGAAGATGTGCTTTTAAGCTAGTTGGAAAAGATAACACAAAAAATTTAAATTACTGTATCACTAAAAATGCATTTGATAAAAATGTATAGGGCTCTTTGTAGGATTGTCTTCTTTAGAAATTTATGGTGGAGACTAAAAGTAGAACTGGATAGTACTCTTTCAAAAGTAAAATATAACTACGTACTGAATTGAGGTTGGGATGTTGTAAAAAACTCCATACCGCTCTAGCAAGAAGAGAAACACAGATAACTGTTATTCATAAAATACAACTAATAAACGTATAAAATAAAATTTTCGAAAATAGTTCAAAAAAATTGCATACAATTTGACGCTTAATTTTATGTTTTTTAATGCGTTTAAACGCTCAAAAGTTTTTCACTATTTTTGAGAAAAAAAAGTAGCCGTTTTTTGCCATCAAAAATTTAGATGCAAAAAATCTGTACAAAGGGGACAAACTATATAGAAAATTAGACATACTTTTTTTGATACTAAATTAGTACAAAAAGTGACATGCTTGTCTGCCCGGGTATCGACTTTAATTGCTTGAAAGAGTTTCTCGATATCATAAAAAATTCCTTTCATTTTTTCTCCCCATTGATTACTCCAGTTTACTTGCTTTTCTTTTTCTTGACTAAATATATAAATAGATTGAAGTTTTGGTTTATCGAAAACAGTTGGTACAAGTTGTTCACCGAATGCATCCGAAACAATAAGAGCAACATTTTTCTCATTAATAGTGTCTAGACAATGAATACATTGATCAGAATTAGTAAATGTGTAAATCAAGTTGGTAATTCGTTGAAGTTTAGTAATTGAGCTGTGATAGTTTTTTCAGTACTATCAATATGAGGATCCGCCCATATAATAACCAAATCGTGCTTGGCATCGTCCTGTGAATGTAATGATGGAGTGATAGATTTTTTTTCTCCAATGGGTGATTTTAAGACTGTCGAGCAAGTTTCAGATGTAGCACTTTTTATTCTGTCAGGATCATTCGTTGACGATGAAGCATTAGATGGAACCACTGTAGGATTAATACTCTTAATTTCTGATGAAGGCCCACAACCCATAGTGAATTATGTTGTTTTATTTCGATAATATATTCAAATGGGCCACTTGACGAAGAAAAAAAGATATGGGCAGCAAACAGTTTCAGTTTATTCGTGTTCTTCACATTTTATAAAGTCGACAGTTAGTTTTTCTTTAGACGATTACTTTATTGACCTTGGAAGCTACTTCTCTTTATGTGAACACTTTAGGGTGAAATATAAAACAAAGAATGAAAAATTGCCAACGATAAGAAAGACGCAAGTATAAAAATGCATGCATTCAATACCGACTAAAATGCTGCGAGATTGTCGACTTGAAGAAAATAAAAGACTAAAAAGAAACATTGAGAGTTAAATGGTCTTTGTTGACGACGGCTTACTTAAAGCAGTAGCAGTAATGTTTTTTTGTTTCTTTCTCCATAGTTACATAATCATTCTTACCTATTTGAAACAGATGAACATTGCTCAAAAATTTCAGTGGCATGCAACTTGAAATTTGAATATCATCGAACAAAAACTGTCGAGCTCCCAAGTTGCTTAGATTTTTCTAACGTTCTCGAAAATGATGAAAACAAAAAGAAAGATTCATATCCTATTCGACTCTCTTCCAAAATTTGACTGAATTTTCTTTGACTTCAAACTTATCAGAAATCTCTGTAGATATTTTTCTTTGCCATTGCCGTCTAAATAAATATCGTGAACACCACAAAAACCTTGGAGTACCACTTGTTGGATTTTGAAGGTCGCTCTCTGATAGATAATTAAAATGATGTACGGAGGTGAAACTGAAAATTGCTTCTTATCTTCTAGGAAACTTGTATATAAAGTCTAACAACTCACTGGAAAAGGATTGTTATAGTTGATTATATAAGGATCTCAAATACTCAATATATTGATATTCTTAATTAGCACATTTGGATCTAGCAATGAATATAAGTTTTAACAGACTTACAAATACAACTTTTCTAGCAGATTCGCATGTAGTCCCATGATGTACAAGAACTCAGGTTTGAAATATCATCAGGTATCATATCCTACTGCAAATCAAAAAAACGACAATTTAATCGGAAGCAGAAAAATTCTCTAATCCATACATGGGTATAAGTGAATACGAACGACTGCTTCACACCCACACTCATACCCACGGCCCTAGGATCCTGTTTCACATGTTACATCCTCAGGAATCGTGCTGAAAGTATATTATTATTTTGTAAACATTTTCACTAGCATTAGTTTCCACTATCTTTCAATCTAGCGAAAAATGAAGCGACATCCGATGAACGTTGGTTTCTTTTTTAGATGTAAGTGAAAGCAAACCTCTAGAAAAGTGAAAAAAACATAATGTCAAGGTGAAATGATGGAATTCAATCACATGTTTTCGAAGCACTCTTGCAACGAATTCACGCAATATATCCAGTTAATTCAATTCGAAAATAATTCTGGTTCCCATCAGTGAAGTAACTTCCAGTATTTTGCGAAGAAATAATATTAATTATTAAATTGAACGATCCATGGTTTTCATCGGTATTCCATGGAACAATTAGTTCTTGTTTATGTCTGGTGAAATAGGCGTTATATGTTTGTTCACTGAAAGTGGTTTTCTAGTCATTAGCACTATCTTCTTGATACGCATCAAATTCGATATAAGCATGTCCGTTTGGATAGTTACCATGTACCAGCGTTACAGATAGCAGAATCGCTTTGATGTATTCCTTCGCTGGCAAATAATTTCGTAGACTGATAGAATACTGCATAGTCTGGTGGTTCAGCTGAATTCTCTGTAATCCCGCTGGGGTCAGCGTTTGTTTTGACGATTCTTTTCATAGCCCTTTGCTCAAGAAGTTCAATGCGACGATATAATATTTCAATGTCTTTATTATCATATGCCGAGTTGCTGGAACCTGAAAACGATGAAAAAAGAGTCATATGTTAATTCTCAGGTACTTTGTACGGCTCTGAAACATTATCGACTAAAAGCTCATGAAAATATTGGTGTAGGACTCAGAATAGCTTACTCAGAGAAGCTCAAACTGAGTTTGGTAAACTAATGAAGCGCAACACAGGAAGGGTAAGCTGTTACTTTTTCAGATGTTACAGAACAGCCCAACAAAGGCAATGCAATAGTTAGATTCATTCCTTTATTCCATTTTGAGAGATCTCTATTTTTAATCGCGTTACTCGGAGCGTAAAGACTAGTCTATTAGGCCACATCATAAAAGAAAATATGAAAATTTAGAATAACCATCGTTTTCTTTATACACAGCGTACCGGAGCTAAATTGAGATGACTGATCGAATTGGATTCGTATTTTGGATTTGTCGAGTTCTCATGCAGTTTTAGAGAACATTTTGATCGAACTCTCCTAGAAATGACGGGCCATGCTAGTTGATGTCCATTTACGAAATAAGACAAGTTGCGGATGTGGATTTGCCAGTTATTTAATCCTTATGTACATTCATATTCACATCTATATATGCAGTCACATCCTTCAAAATCTAGAATTTGAGCTAATTAAACTCAACATTACATCAATTATTTGCCCTCAAATATACTGATAATTACTAAGGTGACCTCCAAATTCAATTGGAAAAGTCTTCGTAGACGAAATATCATGCGGACTCGGGCCGGGCCATAAAAAAGTGATCTGTCTTGAGTTCTGATACTTACTGATGATCGATGATATACAGATAAAAATGAAAATATGTAAAGCTCGTTTATGCGCCATATTTCACCGAGAATGGTAGAAAATGATGGGTTGCTACTCAAAGTCGTCTATGCAGTTTACCAGTGTGAATATTTATCAATATACAAAGACATAAATAAATATATATATATAAGATTATTCGAAGACACTCAATTTTATCTTAATTGGATGGATTTTGTTTCTTATCAAGCATCGCAAATACTGTAATGCTAGTTTTATTTTTATTTTCTCCTAAAAAGTATACTTATCTCAGTTTGCTTTTCAATGTTATTTCTTACTGCATAGAAATTTGATTTACATAAGGATTCATTGTTCGAATTTACACAAATGCATCATAGAAAATTACTTTCTGGATATGGATGTGAGTGCATGGGTGTTCGGATGTATGTCTTCGCTTCAAGGACACTTACTCGGATACCTACGCTCATACACATATCTACCAACACTGATGCGTTCTTTATACTGAGTATATATTGATGAGCAACATAGGAATGAATATATCATCAACCTTTCTAAATAAGCTTTTGATTATTCTTGTTATTTTGAGGAGAATTCAACGAGCACAAACTGGATTGATGAACACCGTATTGACTAATATCATGCAAATTTGTTCAATCTTACTAGAGAGGCTCTTGCTTATCTTGATCAACAAAAAAATTCCAACAACGAATTAGTAAATATCATGGATATTGAAATCGATCGATCGAGAAGCAGTACAATAAAGCCTAGGATTTGTAAGACTAATATTTATTAGAAAGGTAGTTGAGACACGACCAACAAAACGTTTTCTATCTGTATCGTGAAATATGAAAATATCGTTAGGAAGAAAAGATCCCCTATTTTTTTGGAAAAGAGTTATAAACGAAGATTTGTGCGCTCAATTTTGAAATTCTGGCGGTAAACATAGAGTTCTGAAGCAAGAGCTATGATCAATCATTTGACGTTATTTTCAATTCATTCAATGAAAATGAGTGAAAATGGAAAACAAATTGTTGTGAATGGTCTTTATTAGAAATTCCATATCATACAGATCGTAGTCGTCGTGTAGTATTAAGCTTTTTTAACTGTTCAATCTAATTTGAAAATTCATTGATTATTTTAATTTGATAGTAGTAGTCGAAATAACGAAATAAAGCTTTCAAAAAAGAAATCTTCACATGGGAAAAAAAGCAGCCAGAGTAAACAGTAATAAAATAAAAAGAAATATTGCTCATTGTAAGCAACAGCATTTTATTTGAATTATAAAATAAAATCGACTTTAATCCTTATGTTATGCAATTCATGATGCACAATTTCTTGCTCACGAGAGAAAAGTATATGAATCACGGTGTAAATAAAAAAAAGCAAATAAATTATTTTCTGCATTCATGATTCACTTCTTACTGACAGACTGTGTTTTTATCTCTTTAAATACAAGAAAGAAAGTAATGACTACTGAGTTATTGTCTCACACATGCAGACCCAACAAAACGACAATCGGACATACATTGTCAGTAAGGACATTTTTTTCACTCAGCACAGATGTGTATTTTCTTTACTAGTTCTATCAGTGAATATACACAAATAAGCTATATGAAATGAGTAAAAACATTGAAGCCAAATCAAACAAAATTGCTAGTTTAACAGATGTCTGTTATTTAGCTAGTCAAATCATGTTTGTGAAATGTGCCATGGAAAAAGTTTCGTCTACTCCTTCTGACTAGCTAAATTGTCGATAATAATAAACAAGTTTCATTTATTACAGCATTCTAAATTTGACGTATTTGGATTTCAAAAAACAAAACTCCCTATTTCAGCCGTTTGATCGAGTTGTGTAAATGTTAAGTCTGTCATTCACTACTGAATATGTGTCTTCATCCGAAGATGAATTCTGACAACCGAAAATTTCTTATCGGAGTATTTTGAATAAATATTTCATTTAGTTGTTGATATCTAATGCGAGATAAAGATAGATATAGAATAAGTATTTTTTTAAATTCTGTTGCTGAGTATTGTGAAATATTGTTTATCTGTGTTCTGAGTTGAGAGCATTAAAACAACGAAATAAAATCAAGTGGTCTCTCTTTCAACTTTCCCACATACCCAATGATTGAAGTCTCTCTTTAATGACTTTCTCAAAAAAAAAACAAATTTCCCATCCAAGTGTAACAACAAAATGATGAATAAAATATAGAAAGTATTTCTTTGATGTATTTTCGAGATTCAAATTTCTGAATTGAATAATGACCTACAGTAAGTGATGACTATGTTCAAATGTGTCCATCAGAGATATATCATAGAAATGCAATCCAATAATATTACTTTCATCAATAGTTCATTTTTAACATTCAACTATGTCAAATAGAGCTTATCAATAATGAAGATCGAAAAGCTAGTCAGACTTTTCTTTCTTTTTATTTTTTGCAATCGATGTTAGTAACCTTATAACCATTATTTTCCCCTGTAGCTGAAGATTGAATATCAATATGTATGCAACGGATTATGCGACAGATATATAGGACAGTCAATAATATTGCATGCAAACATTGACCAGTAACTCTAACAATTGCTTAAAAAAAAGATATGCAGTATAAACTATATATCTTACTTAAAGTTTGCAATATTACTTCAGATATGTCCAAAGAAGTCAACGAACTGTCTGGAGAAAAATCGATCACTACCTTCAATGACTTGCCGTCAGAATTGATACTTGGCATCTTTGAATATCTCTCTGTGATTGATCGATATCAATCTTTTTACGAATATGATACTCGTCTTCGTCAGCTCGTTAAACGATGGACATCGTACAGTAAAACAGCACTCAATCTTGACATAGAACAATTTTCTACACTTCGTAGTTGGTACAAGCATTTATCGTTCAAAGATGGTGGTAGCGAATTTATTCTTTTTCCTAAGATATGTCAACAGCATTCCCATGTCAATTACTCAGATATTACCGATACTCCTAGTTTCCATTGGATTTTTTTTCAGAATAGTAATCGTACAGTGATTAACGATGAACGTGTTTGTGAAATACTTCTTCGCCACTCATTTCGACTTAATCCATTTTTCTATCACCAGTGTATTGATGATTCGCCACGTTTGAACCAAGATGGCACACAATCGCCTCGTCGTTTCTGCGGTGGTCATATTATTACTATGGATCGATTTAGAGAATATTTTGAACCATGGATCAAAAGCCATTATCCTGAGATAGCTGATCGTATATTAAAATCTTCTAGGTTCGAACATAATATTGATGAAATTCTTGCACCCGTCTTCGAAGCTGAATGGTTAAAAGCAAAGCAAGTTATGCAGGAAGCGGCTCATAAAGTGTGGGAAGACCTGAAAGGTCTCGACAATATCAACCCATTAAGAAAGAGTTCATGGGCATATGTACGTTGGCCATAATATGAGAGTTGTTAACATTTTGTTTTAAATTCTATTCAATTGTATGCGAGAAACTGTGGTTGTTAAAAAGGAATTTACGTCTTAATATTCTATATCTATGAAGTTATAGGTGTTTCAGCATAGGGGTTTGAAAGACGTGAGTCACGGCGTGCAAAAAAGAGTTGGCTTGAAGAACATTCAATAAATTATCCATAAGAAAAACTGTTTTTAGAAACTAACTTCAAATGAACATAGTCGGTATTTTTTCTACGATCTACATCGGAGTGCTGGAAAAATGTCGAAAGAAAAATATGGAAGTGGAACAATATCGCAGGATATGATCTTTCTAGTAAATAATGACTCTAAGCACTCACTTTTCATTCTTAGTTTTCTCATAATTCTACTAGTCTAAATTTTTAACCAGTAGTAATATCAATGGGTTGGGTATGGATGTGGATATGTGAGAAAAGATTACTCACACCTGCATTTCACACCCCTATAAATGAATATCATGCAATTAATTGGACTTTATTGAATCATCAGATTAAAAGTAAAGTATCGTAATTATAATAAATTGAGTAGAATTCAATTTGAATTAACATATGACAGAATATTTGAGAGACATAAAAACACATTTTAATCAAGAACTATATTGATTATAGGAGAATTCAATTTAGTACTGGAAATGAAGGAAATTTTGACATGGGATAAATATCAAAAACATGTTTATGGCATTCAAAACTAAAAATATTTTAGAAGATCTGGTATACATCAACGAAAGTGAAATAGATTTTTGAACAAGGTATCATAATAGAAATCTTCTTAGAAGTATTTCTATTTAAAGTAGATTCTTTTTCTGAATGTATTAACTATTACTAATTACTTGGCTGCAAGCTTTCTTCCATGAAACCTCTTTATTCAAAGATAACATCCAGTATAACTTTAAGTTAGGTTCATTTGAAAAGAAATGTTTAAAAAAGCTCAGCTCGTTTAAAAGAGCTGTTCGAACAGTTCTCTAATTCATTTGAATGAAGTTCGTCAACGTGAGCCGGTCGATCCCTATTCCTTACTACTTTCCAGGATGATTTTTTTACACAATTTGATCAAAACCAATCTGTCATCAATAATTTTTTACTTTTTGAAGTTACACATAACACTCGGATTTAAATCCAAGGTTTCCACATTTATTCTAATATTGGAACTTTTACCTGACTCTAGTTTTGCTATTAGATGATTTATATATAACTTGCCACTACGTGTCAGGTTTGAGTGTTGAAGTTGCACATCCACACCAAATATCCATACCCATCTATCATCCCAAACATTCAAGTTAGCACTACAAGAAATGTATGGTATGCGTAGAAAGACACATTGGTAAGGCGTAATCTAACGTAAAGGTGCCATGAACTCAGAACATATACGAAATTGTATGATTCATGTGCTTACGATCTGCGATAGTTTTCAAGATTTCCAAAGTTTTCAAAAGCATTCTTATATCAAAGATGAGAATATATCTCTATCATTTATTTGACAAATATTAGATATTTCGAATTGTTTGAGTTGGGGCGATTGTCAAGGAAGGAGGGAAATATTATTTCAGATATCTAGATCTTGCATAATTTTCTTTTTTTCTAAGCAGAATAAAATTCCACTTGTCAATTAATCGAAGAACTCCTATCAGTTCACAATCATTTTACTTGATTTGTTTGATGAAGTTTCATGTATTCAATGGTCTTGCAAAACTTCACAATAGATGATTGAAAAAATTTTTAAATGATTTTGGCCTTCTCCAAAACCATAAATAGATAACCAGCCATCAGACCAATAAAGTATTCTGACCAATTAAACATTTGGAAGACAGCACTAACAATTATTAACAAGAAGGTCATATACTTGTTCTCAACAAACAAAGCCGGGAGAAATACCGTTGTTCCATTCGGATTCTTGTAATTATTATACAAAAACACAGTATAAAATACAAATGGTCTTGATAGGAAATTAACCGAGTGTAATGGTATAAGAGTATGCATGAATAATATCATAATAGCACCAAATAAGAAACAGAACAGAAACCTTTTCTGGCGGTTAAAATATGCATATTCATTTTCCAATGCCGCTGAATATGAGATGAAAAGGACTAGTTGATACCAAAATGAAATCCGTAAAAATTTATCAAAGAAAAGAAACGTTGCCAAACGCGAAGAAATATTATTCCAATCTAATACAAAATATTTGTAGGCAATAATAGATGGTAGAAATTGAACGACAAATGCTGTCGTTAAATAAAGAAGACAAAGCTTTTTTGTAACCGGCGGCATCTCACGAAGCAATTGCTCAAAGTATGTTGTCATGTTTAACACAATTAACCGATACAGCGATGTTTTTATATAAATCAAATATTCAGATGAATGCTTGCTTCACTTATTTGCTTGTCGTCTGTTCTTTTTTTCCTACATGAAGAAGAAAAAAAGAAACTTTTTAAGAAGTGTATACATTTACCAAAAGTAGCGGATCTCTCGATGGCTTTTATTTCTCTCGCTGCGTTTAATGAGTGACAGTTTACATATCCAGCAAAAAATCAAAGAGAGAAACTAAAATAATGGACAATATGTTTGAACTATGAAAAATGAAGTCAATGCTAATCTGTAATTTTTCACGATTGTAAAAAGAAAGCGCAATTGATCAGATGTGTTGTGTGCCATATTAGAGCATCCATCTTGTTATTTCTTCTCTATGTTCTTTATCGTTTGGTATGAAATTGAATACCCTCCACAATATAAACAAATATTGCAATAAGAGAGAGACAAAATGAAGCAAAGAACGTAAACAGAACAAACGGACCTCTATACGAATATAATGTGCCATCCATATGAAGTGTGATACTGTAATAGACTGCAACAAAACTTAAAGAATGTACGTGTGAAACTTTCGCTTACCAAGGTCAACTACATTCGCACATTCAACCCTTAAGAGAGTCACGAAATTAAGAAAATGAATACAATCGAGTCATGCAAATAGTTAAAAGCTAACTAGAAGTTTTTTTAGTTTAAAGTACGACACTACAAGAAGAGAAATTATCTTGTTTCACAATTTATACGTAATAATTGTTAGGTCAAATGATCGAGTGTACGTATCTTCTATATTTAAGACCCATTCTCTTTCTTCGTTCCTCTTTGCTGCTATCATCAAATAATCGAGTACATCGACGAAAGCAACCATTGTGTGAAACACATAGATAATTACACGTAAATAAAGAAAAATCTATGATCCTGATATTAGGCAAAGGAGGCGTAAAATTGGAAGCGAAATTGAACATAGGAAGGTCGGATATTATCTATGTTATTCAGATCAAACTTTTCGTACGGATTGATATAGTTAACATGTTGCACAGCAATATGTGATTGTAGGATGTGAACAAAATTAAAGAACTATTAATAAATGCTACCCACATTATTCTATGAATGCTCCTTATTCATTTTATTCCAATTAATAAAAGAATTTAAATCGAGAATGCATATACATCCATCGCAGAAACAAATTTCAAAGGAAAAAAAAATTATTACCATCATAAATCATTCAAAGTTTTATTCTTCAATATAACAACAAATCTATCATAAGTTCTTCATATGTCGATTTAAAAGACGACAGAGAACTCATACTCCTATTGCTAGAAATGATGATGGATGCAACAAAAAGTATCTTTTTAACATGAGAAATGTATTTTTTGTCGTTTTAAAGAGAATGGCACATAAAACATATTGTTATTTGATTAAACGATACGGAAATTGTTCTACATTCATAAAGTACGATTTTGTATCATGCTGAAAGTGTTGTACAATATAATCCAATATGAATGAAAACTTTATTTTTCTAGTTGAAAAATGCGAAACCATCGGCAGAAACAAACACTTCAGTGATACTTATTTCTTGTTGAACTGAAAATTTAGCTGATATATCTTATGAACAGGAATATAGTTAAAGAGTAAGTCAAGTATGAAGAAAATCTGTATTTATTAACAGTCATGAACATATGTTTTATTTGCATTATCTCACTCTAAACTAGAACGTGTTTATTTGGAACTTTTTTTAACTTCAACATTCCAATGGCTATGAAACTACCTATTTTATATAAACTACTACTTATATGATGAGATGCTCATTGCCACGTATTTCAATTGCATATTTGAAATAGAGAGGTCGAGTTAATATCAATTTATTGACTCGAAGAGCAGAAGCAGAAACAAAATGTAAAATTGATGATACAAAACTTAACAAGAATAACTCACTCTTAAAAGAAAAGGCATGCATATATATGTATAGATACGTATCTATAAATCGTAATGAGACTCACATGAAGAAGACAAAGAACAGAAAGAAAATAGAAATACAGCAATAGAATTATTATGATTGTATGATACTCATGGTTTAAAAGATTTAAGAGAAGATTTTGTGTTAAATGTCAAAATCTACTGAGAAAAACAACTGAAAAATGCAATAAGTTAGCAATAGAGATGCAGAAGATTGAATAAACATAGACTATGTACTTATCTTTTTATTAGGTTATGCCGAAAAATATGTTGTCACTGTTGATCCTCTTTTTAATCTGTCTCATCTTCATTCTATGTATGAAATGCAGATGGGAGAGAAAGAAAAAAAGAAAATGATGAAAGGAATAAAAGAGCAAGAAATGTAATGTGTATTACCTTGCTGTTAGGTTTAACTTTTACTCTTATCTCTTATTCTTCAGAAAATCCAATGACCATTATACATATATATATATATAGGAACAACGAAGGGAAAGATCCCTAAGTTGAAACATCCTATAAATGATGAATCACCAAACAAAAAGAAAATCTTGTACATGTGAAGTAAAGAAAAAGAAAAGTACAACGAAGAGAACGAAAGAAATCATCGAAGGGCAAGAAAAACATCTAACATATAAGTATAGAAAAGAAAGAGAACAACAAAGATAGTGGCACGAAGATTACATATACCACTACCCAACACTTGCAATGAGACTT